ATCCTGTGATTTTATTGGATCCGGATAGGGTCGGAAGTGATCTTCAGCCCGGGATTTTCTGGACATAAGGGTACCCTATATTGTATTGTATTTTCATGTGATTTAAGGACCGAGTCCAGGATCGTCCTTTTAGATCCTAGGATCGGACCGGACCGGATTCGCAATTTAACATCCCTAGTCCCTGATGACAAAGCTGATAGTTCACCAGTAAGTTCTTGCCCCTTTCTGCTCTCGTTGACAGAGCTGATAGCTCTTCTGCTCTCCTGTCCCTGTTGATGCCCCTGATTATAGAGCTGACAGCTTTCCGGAAGAATCGTAGTAAGTTTAAAAAATTATTAAGGCTAAATTAGGCCATACAAAATTGATTGGTTTTCATAACCTAGCCGGACCCAAATTTGAAAATTGAATATCGGGTGGGTTTTTAAACAAATTTTATATATGAAATTAAACCCCGGTCGTCTAGGTCTGTTTAAAAGTTTCTTGTTATGAAAACCAAGAAATTAAATTTGTATTGCCTTAACGTTATCATTATGCACTTAAAACCATTTTTCTTACAAGAATACAAAGACGGAGGCGGAAAAATAGGTGGACTAACATAGAGCGTAGGTTTGGCAGTACTAAATACCCTTTGAGTCGAAGATCTCAAATTGATCTTAAGGAAAAAGCAAGAGCTGAATTAGATTTCAGGATTAAAAATAAACAACCTCGCGGAATATTCGCTCTTGTTAGGTAAGTAAAATAATATATTGTTATTTAAATTTAAATGTTAATTGATTTAATTATAATGTGTATTGAATTTTTCAATTAGGGTTCATAAAAATTTTAGACCTTAATCGTAGTAGATAGAGGTTGGACTCGAATATTCGAATCAATTCGTATTAAGTATGAATTTGAATTAATTCGAATATTCAAAACCATTATATAGCTATTATAAAGCTTTTACATAGCCTTTACATAGTCATTACAAAACCATTTTTATAAAATGTTATAAGATTATAAGCAATTATTTTTAGTTGTTACAAACATTATATTACTGTTATACTGTTAGACAACAATTGCACTAAGTTGCAATATATAAAAAACCTACGTCACAAGCCACTATTGAAAATGGTTACAACAAACTTCTATGACATGTATTCTTCATAAAGTTTGAAATTGTGTATATTTAAGTTGACCGAAGTCAGCGAAACGATGGCTACATTTTTGCCTCATGATGCAAAGTTAGATAATATAGTCGACTCCGAACTCAAAATTTTGAAATTTTACAATAATTCAGTATAACAATTGCAATGTGTTCTAGTAATTCCTATAACGAACTTTTTTTTCACAATCTTAAGTTCGTTATTGAAAGAGTTGACTTGGCTCAAAATCATTTGAGACACGTTTATTATGCAACCCTCTTCACAAATAAGTAATATTAAATGCAATTGCAAAAACATGTGTTTATTGGAATCAACCTAGGTGGATTCTAAATATACTTCGAAATCGATAATTTTAAGAGTAAAAAATGTGCTTTTTGTTGTGCTACCTAGGAAGATCATTAATCGACCTAGGAAGATTTGATGTAGGATTCTTTACATGATATCAAGGTCAAAAGTTTTACAGTCACAAATAGAAAGGTTAATTTACATGTCGCAGAAATTTGGTAAAAATTAACTATAGTTTTAAAATTTTTTGTTAGTAGCATATTTTTAATGTATATACGTATAAAAAATTTTTTGATCGGTAAATTTATATAAAATGTATTCTTTTTGCCTAAAGACTTCTGGAGATGGCTGGTTACGAGATTAATTAAATACAATTGTTTATATTATTGCTAATTCAAGAATAATTGACCCGTGTGTACGTGCTCGTAAAGGTACTGGTGAAATTGGATTCGTGAAATAATTTTATAATCTTTGCTAGCAAATTTTTTTTTTCTAAAATAGATTTATTATAAAAACCTTGTGTAACAATGGCTCGTAGGGTCATTTTGCTAGCAAAGATAGACAGAAAACGACCACGAAAGTCCGGGGCCGTTCTTCAGTTGCAAAGTATTGTAGATCGCCATGTAAAATATAAACTTCCGATGCGCTTAATGCTAGCAAAATTAATAATAATATGGACAACTTACTGGTAGCTTACATGTTAAAGCATCACAAATTTGATATCAGCTACGTCGTATATAAAAATATTTTTAAAAACCCACCCGGCTATTTAAACATAAAAACTTTTTGACTCGAGAACCAATTAATTAATTTTTCATTTAATTTTCTAAGTAAAAAATGGACAGAAATATATAATCATATATGTTTTTATATAACGATAACGAAACGTAACGATAAATTATAGGACATTACCAAAAAAGGCTTTGAACATCAAAACGTACAACACTGCTACGTATAGCTTTGACGAACTTTTTTTTCTATTTACAATATGCCTAATTATGTTATCACCACCAAAGCATATTTAAAAATAATTCTCCATGCTTGTAAACATCCGTTCACAAGTGTAAATGGAATTCTTTTAGCCGAGGAAGAAGCTTCTGACGACAATAATAGTGATGTCAAAATAATAATTGTCGATGTTGTTCCTTTATTTCATCATTGGGTTACTTTAACACCAATGTTGGAAGTTGGATTACAACAAGTAAGATCTAATTTTAATTGCTAAGATAAAGTAACTTTCAAAAGGTTCAACGCGTTATTCTAAATGATTTTCAAAGGTTTCCATTTACGCTAATAGGAATAAACTTAAGATGGCTGGTTATTACCATGCCAACGAAAGAGCTGACGAAAATAAATTGCCTCCTTTTGGCCAAAAAATTGCATCAAAAATTCAAGACAATTTTCATAATTCAATTGCTCTTGTGGTGAGTGTTAAAGACTCATTATTGTCATTATAATTTTAATCGACTATTATATTTTATATCTTATTATTTAGGTTCAGAATACAAAATTATCACCTGAGAATCCAGAGATTGCAATCGTGGTAAGGACCTTTACATAATAATTTTGTTTATACCGGGTGGGTGAAAAGTAACTAGACAACAACCTTTTTTAACTGTTGATATACTATTGATTATCACTTAACGCTTATACCAGTAATTACGTAGATATAATAAATAACTGTAAAATTTCAATATTTGTGGAGATAGTAAAAAAGGGACTTTTCACCCGGTATAATGCCTATATGCAAGTCGATTACTAACTCGAAAATATTTCTAGCCCTATATTTTTAAAGATAATCAATGGCGTCCTGATAATAAAGCCTTTTCTGATCCTCAATCACCCTTCACTCTTGAAAACCAAAATATACCTAGCATAACATCACAATCAATTTTTAAAAGGGATTTCGAAGTTATATATGACTTTGATGAACATTTGGAAAATGTAGAATTGGATTGGTTGGCCAACGTCAAAGTGATTGAATTGGCGCTTGAAAACAAAAAAAGAGCATGAATTTAGAAATTGTTGCGATTGTTTCATTGAAACAATTATCAAAAGATCAAGAAAACGTTTAATAAAAAGAATCTCATTTATTTCTCATTCCATTGATGTTGACAATCGTGATTACAACATTTATAAAAAATTGACATTGGTTCATCTGCTGAACGTGTTTGTATTTGCATAAAGTATGCACGAGGATGTTCGCATTTTGGACATCTCGCTATCAAGCAAATTTATTATGAGCATTAGTATGCATGATATAAAGATCAAGTAAAGTTAAGATCTCACCTTCGGTTGAATCAACATTTTTCCAACCCTCCTCTCCACCTAAAACATCGTCGACTTCTTTACGCTTTAGAGTCGTTCGATTTTTATACTATAATTTCCCAAACCTTAGTAAGTACATTTCAAACTTTAATCGTATTTAATCACAACTTACAAGAGATTTGCCACCTCTACCTCCAATTGGAAATATGTAAGGGCATGTTTGACAGTAAAACGATTGTTCTCCTTGCGTAAGAGTTTTTATTAAAAGTAAATTTCCACAACAAGGGCAGAATAGCATTTTTCTATCACTACTAGAGGTTAGGAACCGGTTTTAATAATTCGGGTTTATCACATGAATTTTGTGATATTTTAGAATTTATTGGATAAATTTCTAAAATATCCCAAAATTCACGGGATAAACTCGAATTATTAAAACTGGTTCCAACCTCTAATCACTACCAGTACCGAATTTAACGGTAGTGATACGTAGAAAAATGTTATTCTGCCCTTGTTGTGGAAATTTACTTTTATTAAAAACTCTTACGCAAGGAGAACAATCGTTTTACTATCAAACATGCCCTCACATATTTTCAATTAAAGAGATGATTTGAACCAAGAAAATTTTCTTAATCGGTTAACCGAACCGAAATATTTTATACCAACCGATTCAACCGGTTTAAGTTTACTTTACACTTTACCTTCGAAAAGTCTCGGACCTTTACCCAAATTTTTGTTTCCATCTTGCTCATCTTTTATGTTCATTTATTTTTCTTTCGGACCTTTTCAGAATTTACTTAACCAGTTATCTGAAATTTATTTGGCTTAGGTCAGTTAACTAATTATAGTCCAACTGGTTCAAATCTTTAATTTTTTCTAATCAATTACTTAGTATATAATAGAGAATATTTTTAAGAACTATCTACAAAAAATTTTTCTTACGTAATTATAACCAATTATATTGAAGAATCAAATGTAATGTAAAAATTGTTTTTTTATAAAATTGTTTTATTTATTTCAATTTATAAATAAAAAAAATAATAAAGTTTAGAAAAAATCTATTAGAATATTTTAAGAATCTGAAGAAATTAAATTAAAATAATCAATTTTTGTTAAATAAATTAGTAACCTATTTTTTATTATCTTCAGAATTATATACTAATTTATTGTTGTAATAAAATATTAAAACTTATTATAGAATGTGATGACTTAATAAAGTGAACAGATTGTTAATCTTCAAGTAATAGATCTAGAGTTCAAATCTCAGTGTTGATGAAAAATTTGTAATTCTTTCTGTATTATAGTTAACTATCTTTTAAAATTAATTAGAATTAGATATTTGTTATCTGTATCATATTAATATAATTAAAAAGTTATATAGGCATTTGTACAAACTTGTACAAAGAAACACAAACTAGTACTAGGCAATATGAACCTGTAATAAGTTCTTGTAGTTATGTAAATTATAAGAATCAAAAAGATAAAAACTTACTTGAAAGATCTAAATAAAGAAATAACTTGAATTTTTGATAATGTTACTGTAAAGGTTAGACCTATAAAATGATTTAGAACTTGTAAAACTAAGTAAAGACAAGTCAGTCTTTAAAAAGAAACTATTGTAACTAGTTAAGCTGTTGGGATTTGTTTTGAAGAAAAAGATTATATAGCAAAAAACATGTAAACCAAAAGTATAGTTGTATCTATCTTTTTAGACTAGTTAAATTAGAAATTTAATAGAACTTGATTTGAATATCAAAGTAGTAAGAATATATTATAAAATAAGTACTAAAATTAGAGTGAACTCTACAAGAATATAATAATTTAATGATATATACTGACTACAAGTATTGGTCTCAGCTATAGTATTATTAAGTTAGTTATAAGAATAAGATATAAAAAATTCTAAAAGCTTTAGTACAAAATCAAAGATTTTCATATGAGTAACTGTCTTAAAAACTTAATAGCTATGTTATATTTTTACTGATATCAACTAAAGTTATTAATAGATGTAAATAGACAGATAGATATAGGAACTAAAGTG